AGCAGCAAAACCACTGACAGAAAATTGCCTAACATTAGGTTTTTGGATTGTTAGATAATTAGGCATTTTCATGGTCAATTTAATCCAGAAATATAACATCAGCAGGTTCGTGACAACATATATGTGCATGCGTATATCTCTAATGAATGCTATAGCATGCAAACTTGACATACAAATGGATACAATAAGAACGCAAAGTACGGTTATCACAGAGATAAGATTGTACCCAGCGGAGGGTCCCATGCTGAGGGCATTGGAGGCTCCATTTGCACTAGTTAACATAGTGCGTTGCTTGAAGTTGTGGACCATAGTCGATGCAGGACGATGTTCGCTGTGCAGTCCCACGAACGGATCACCAGAAAAAAGACGGGTTCCGCGAGCGATCACCAGGAAGAAGACGGGTTCCACGAGGAAGAAGATATCGAACGAGCAGTCGCGGAATCGCTCCCCAAAAACCTGCACACCCCGTGCAAGGTTCGTAGGCATATGAGGGTTCCGGAGGCACCTGCTCTCCTGCTTCTCCGTGCGCGCAGAGGTACGGGGAAAGCCAGAGGGCTGCTGAGATGTGATCTCTCTCGGAAGCGAAGCGGAAGGTCTAAGGTCTGGACTAACGGAGGACTATGAATTTATGGCTACGACGGGAAGGAAGAAAGGCAACGGAGAATCCCAGGAGATAGAGAGCGGAAGAGACGGTAACTGGTGCAATCAGTTCGCCTCCACCATCAAGGAGAGAAACTCCCATGATTATGTGGATTAAGTGGCAAAACCTGGCCACGCCACGGCCCGGCCTAGCCGGGGCGGCGCGCGCGTGTGTGGCACCCCTTTGTTCTTTTCTCCGCTTCTCAATTAAGATGGATAATTTCCAACCATATAAGCTGAGTAAATGTTCAGTCAAAATCACATACGATGTTAAACCATACAACGCTTAATGTTACGTACCATGGAGTTTTATTTGATTTATTAAATATTATACAGGCCAAACCCGTAATATATCCCACAGTTGTTGGATCGAAGCTACTCGACGCATGCAGTGGCCAACGACGATGGAGCCGTTCTTTCATAACCCCCCCCCCACCCCCCCCACCCCCAAAAAAAAGATGGAGACATTCCAGTCAAAGAGGGAGTTCTATCACGACCGTCTATCTCGACTCGACAACTTAACGATGACTACTTTGCAACTGGAGAATTTTCTTTTTACAAAATATATACATATAAATAATAGAGAAAGAGAGGCACAGCAACAGTAGTTTTTTTTCCATAGAAATGTCTCGTTACTGATGTGCATGGCGATTGATTTCTTATATAACTCCCTACTACTTGATTATTGGATGTTTTTTGATAACTAATTATCGGATGTTTTTAAAAAATTGGGTTGTTGGTCACACAGAGCCTTGCGTCGTTACTCCCCGTGATCGGACCGGGCCGGTTGGTAACGACGACAGGTGACAGATCTCCCGCCGCTCCAGGCCTCCAGCTAGTCAGCTAATTTACACGTTCGCATGATCCGAAGAATTTACACCAGTTAATTACAGAACTTACACTTAAATTGAAGTAGTAAAATATGGTTCAATAAAATGTAATATGCTCTTACTAAAAAATAAATATACATATACGTACATGAGTAGGGCTAGATGCGGAATAAATATCCATGAACAGGGTACTGGTGCATAGAGTGAGGTGATGTGATGGCAGGACCACAGCACAGCATGCACCTGCACCCGTCTGCACCACGGGTCCGCATGCACCGGGTCCGCTGCCTGTCATGCGTCATGCCTCTCAACGCGGACAACTGGGGCCCACGCCGCTCCCTCACATCTCCTCCCATGCGCGGACTCAGCAGGTGGCTACCCAACGCGGCTACATGATTTGACGCTACAGCTCTCCATGGCAAAAGCAGCATCCACCGAGTGCGCGCACGGTGGCAGACTAGCAGGCACGTGCCGTCCGTGTCAGAGGGGAGGAGAGGAGAGCGAGTGTGGTGTGTGGTGTGTGTGTGTGGACCTGCTGCCGCTTGCACGTCTCATCACCTCCATCGCAGCATATCATCTGATAGCTCCGAGGTCGGCGTCAAGATCTGTGGCGCTGAGCTCGGAGCCATGTATTCTGGTGTCGAGGTACCGGCTACGTCAACGCCACCTAGAATGCTCTGCTGTGCACGGCCAGCCAATTCGGAGCCAAGATCTGTGAAGCCGAGACGTGTTACCTCGGCGCCGCCATTAGTCCTGGCGCCGACCCCAGGGTACAAAGATGAGTTTAAGTTTTAAAGGGGTAAAATGTAAATTTTCTTAAAAAAAAAGTCAAATTATAAAAAGTCGGGTTGTTGGTCAGACAGAGTCTTGCGTCGTTACTCCCCGTGATCGGACCGGGCCGGTTGGTAACGACGACAGGTGACAGATCTCCCGCCGCTCCAGGCCTCCAGCTAGTCAGCTAATTACACGTTCGCATGATCCGATACTGCACCTTTCACCTCACCTCACCTCACGGGCGCGCGTGCGCATACTCAATTCACACGCGCGGTGGACACGAGATGAAGCCTCCCTTGTGCATAAGCCACAAGCACAACATACTCCGCCAATTATTTGTACTTACTGCAGGCAATGCTACACCACGTACCACCGGGGCCCGGCCCAGATGCGGTAGGTCACGGGAGCTGATCGATGGCAGATGGCCGACCGATCTCGAATTAATGATTACGTACTATATGTATAATACCGACACATCGACGCCGATCTGACAGACGTCGTGGTTGGTTCGAAGCTAGTCGACGCATGCAGTGGCCAACGACGATGGAGCCGTTCTTTCATAACCGCCCCCCCCCCCACCACCCACACACATACCCAAAAAAAAAGATGGACCCGTTCCAGTCAAAGAGGGAGTTCTATCACGACCGTCTGTCTCGACTCGACAACTTAACGATGACTACTTTGCAACTGGAGAATCTTCTTTTTACAAAATATATACGTATAAATAATAGAGAAAGAGAGGCGCAGCAACAGTAGGGTTTTTCCATAGAAATGTCTCGTTACTGATGTGCATGGCGATTGATTTCTAATATAACTCCCTACTACTTGATTATTGGATGTTTTTTGATAACTGATTATCGGATGTTGTCGTGTACAAGAAGTTGCCTACAAGGCTACATCTAACGGTACGTGTGGAATACGGGTAGCTGCATTTTTCCAAGGGACCCGGACGTCTTCTTCCTCGCCCCTCTCCTATCTTCTTCTTCTTCCCGTGCTTCTCCTCTACCGCCCCCTCCCCCACCCTCCACCACTGGAGGCCGACGGCTCCCGCCGCCTCACCGCGGCACCCACCTCCCACCCTCGCCCGTCGACCCCGCCCTCCCCTGACCTCCCTCGCGACGCGCCTCCGCCGTCCTCATCCTTGTTCTCGCCCCTGCCCACCCTAATCCCATGGTGCCGGTGAGCTCTGCCACGACGCCCCCGCCTCCAACCGCCCAACCGCCTTCTCCTGCCTCCCCGCCTCGCCCCGCCACCGTCTCGCCCGCCTCCACCACCGCTCGTGGCCGTTGGCCCCCCAAATCCTCCTTCTAAGCCCGCTAGGAACAGATTCCCTAACCTACCCGAACCCTAACGCCGGCGAGGTTCTCTTCCCTGACGCCGGCGAGCTCCTCGCTAGAACCCAGAGTATTTTGCACAAATCTTAAAGCAACCTTGTAATTAATTATAATTTTTTAGGGGATGTAATTAATTATAATTAATTTCACACGTGTTTTCTTTGGGCCTGGCCCATATTCAATGCACCATTAAGATCCACAAATAGGGAAATCGTGATTGGGTATCACCGGATAGATGATTACTTTAGAGGTGTTTTAGGTGTAGAGAGTTACACTTGAAGATAATTAAGTTACTTCTGGCACATGCACGGTCCATTGTTCAATGAATGAAAAAACTTAGGGGGTGTTTGGTTGGCCGCAGTTGTGTGCCACAACTAAGATAAAACAGCCACAATTCTGACGCATGTGTTTTAGTTCATTAAAAGCTTTAGGCTCACCACCACTTTTTCAACTAAGTGAAGCAGAAAATCTCGTCACGGCTTAGGCGGTCAATACCGTCGCCGCAACTTCAGCTCGCCACAGGGGCGCGTGGCGAACTAGGGCCTGCAACCAAACATGCCCTTACACGAGAAAGAGAGATCTACCAAACCGTGTGAGTGTGACGCGGACATCACTACACATGAGTGTACGGGAAGTCTCAAAAGACGATTTCGCCGCTTCCAGGTTCTAGCATGCTAGAACTACACACACGTATACTATACGTCTGTGTATCCCTCGTCTTTCAAGCTTAACGGAACTCCAACTCCTCCCGTTTCATCATCATACATACTGTATTCAATACAAAAAGTTGCACTCCTTAATAAATGCGCTGCTACAGGCCGGAGCTATACTTCTTCTCGCGTCATGGAGCTCCGTCCTCAAAGCCATCTTGGATCCCAAGGTTCGTGGAATATCTGCATCTGCAGCAGGCATATAGTATTCCGTCTTCGTCCTCCGGTCCTCACCAGCTACCGAGGTCGCCAACTCGCCATTGGCAACATAGAGAGTGTACGTGGATGCCTATATATGCCCGTTCGATCCCCTTATCGCGGAGGGGAGCTCCTCCTCCGATTCTTGTCCGCCCTTGCATGAAAGTTTTTGCATTGTTTCATTGCTTCTCTCTAGCTAGTTCCTTCTAACGTCTTTCTAGCATCCTCCACACCCCCCCCCTCCCCACACAGGGCGCCCGTTCATGAGGGATCGTCTGATGATCAGTAGATAATAATAAGCAATATAATACTGATCTTGAATCGAGTTGTTGTACTCTCTTTGTCACTTTGTGCAGCTAGAGCCTACAGACTACAGTATCAGGTACACGAAATGAAAATGGTTACTTGCAAATTGCACGAGCTGGAATTATATTCTTCTAATGATCTTCTTCTCCGTCTCTTATAGTAACATCATCAGTTTCTGGCTTCTGCGTGAAGGGATAGTAAGGCGCGCCATGGCGCTTTCAGCTTCCCCGGTTCAGGAAGAAGAGCTGCTGCAGCCTGCAGAGAGGCAGTTGAGGAACCAGCTCGCTGCAGCCGCGAGGAGCATCAACTGGAGCTATGCCCTCTTCTGGTCCATTTCAAGCACTCAACCAGGGTAAATTGAAGTCTTAATAATATACAGTTGATATTTGCTTGGCAGTTTTCTGCAACTTTGATGAATGATCGTCAGTCGTCACATCATTTGCATGAGCTTTATATCCCAGGCTCCCAGCGCATACATACATATCAAATAAAGGGAGTCGGATCCGGTGATGCGATTGTAGTCATTTACTTATCGTTTTTGCAGAAAATGGTTAGTTTTTTTTCTGTTTGCAATGATGTCGCCAGGTTTTACATCCAATTTAGTTACTGAATGAAACTTTGTTACTCCTACTCTTCAATCTCCTCGATTTAAGAGAGTACTGGATCGATTTTCAACTCACGTCGTCACGTGATGTGTCTTCTCTACCTGGGGAACTCCCATCTTTCCACTTGTAGTTTTCTTTTGAGACGTCTTTCCACTTGTAGCTATCGCCATGTACGCCTGGCTTATAAGCCGTACTTTTTTAACCAATGAACAGTATTTTTCTCTCACAACAAATCAACCAACAGTACTTTCAGCTATGGCTTATCAGCAAGCGAACAGGACATATATATGCAGTGTTATTACCATTACCAAACTGGACAACTCCCATCTTTCCACTTGTAATACCACAGTTTTGAGCTGAAACTATATGCAAGTTTAGATCACAGACTAATAGAAGTGTACGTATGAGCAACTGGAAACTAGTAAAGCCATTTATTATTCTGTCTCTCAAGAAAATTCTTCTTTCACACGTTTTAGCAAATACTAACAATTATAAGCCGTTGGCTGCCATTATAAGCCGGCTTATCAGTCATGGTACAGTATATTTCTCTCCCAACAAATTAGTCATACAAATCAGCACAAGCGGCTTATATAACAGCCGAACAGAGCCATTGATTCTGTTCTTCTTTGGTGAAACTACTAAATATTCAACGACAACAAAATCTAAAAGTTGAGGTCCATATATAAGCTTGTGAAACTCTACTACACTTTGAGTTTTCCAAAGAAATTCCAGCTAATATTTATATTTCAAAATATGCTAATAATTAATACCCCTCTGTTCCAAACTATAAGGCGTTTTATTTTCTCTAGATTTGTAGCTTTTGCTACGTACCTAGATATAAGTCATGTCTAGATAACGGAAGGAGTAATTCATATATCATGCATTCAATACTTATATTAAAATAATATAAAAAGTCATGTTGACAGATGCACATCTCGCAATAAAGATTTCTGTCTCATCCGATAAAAAGGGAACACTATGTATCTGAGGGCATATTTATTTTATTCTAAATAATATAATGCTATACTTTTCTACCTTTTTATCTGTCGCTATGGAAAACGTATTGGTCAAACTTTCTCAACTGTCATTAGGTTTGTAGAAAATACTTTTATCTCCAATTAAGTTTATTATAAAAATAAAATTCAACGACCTATCTAATGATACTAATTATGTACTATAAATATTAATATATTTGGTCAAAGTTGAGTACGTTGACTTCTCGTAAAGCGAGAACGACAAATAAAAAAAGGTGCAAAGAAGAAATGATGTTAGAGGAAACCAAAAAAAAATCTCCACAGAGAAAAAACATTAAGAAATTCAAATATGGTTTTATCATCTCACCCGCCTTTTAATATTGGACTTTCAATCAAATGTACAAAAAGTGATACATTTTAGGGTCATAATTTTTTTTTGGGAAAAGACACACACATATACAGATAGGAGGTATAGATACCTAGTACTACTATATACTGTATAAAAAGTTTTCCCTTAGAGCGTCCGCAACGGTCTTGGTAAATCGCCGGTTAACGTATATAGCCTAATAACAATTAAAAAAATAAAAAGTCAGATAGTGGTGAGGTATATCAGAGACTTGAAAACTCTCGAGAAACGTGCGAGCTAAGCGATTCCTCCCTCGCTGGCGCTGTGGATTTTCTGTCTCTCTCTCCTCCTGATTGGCCTGGTGCTCCTCCTAGCTTGCTGAGCTGGACACCGTTGGGGACGCCCTTAGAAGTCGGATGAGAAAATCTGGTTGCAGGGTGCTGACGTGGACGGACGGGTTCTACAACGGCGAGGTGAAGACGCGGAAGATCTCCAACTCCGTGGAGCTGACAGCCGACCAGCTCGTGATGCAGAGGAGCGAGCAGCTCCAGGAGCTGTACGAGGCCCTCCTGTCCGGCGAGTGCGACCGTCGAGCGGCGCCGGCGAGGCCGGTCGGCTCGCTGTCGCCGGAGGACCTCGGCGACACCGAGTGGTACTACGTGATCTGCATGACCTACGCCTTCCGGCCTGGCCAAGGGTATCGATTACTGCTCGATACAACAAGCATATATATATAGCTGATGCCCCTGAAAATAGATGGTAACAAATTTTTTTTCGTGCTGGCACAGGTTGCCGGGCAGGAGTTTTGCAAGCAACGAGCATGTCTGGCTATGCAACGCGCACCTCGCCGGCAGCAAAGCCTTCCCCCGCGCGCTCCTGGCCAAGGTATGCATGCATGTTTCTCAGTTCTGACTGGAAACACCTCTCGATCTGCATTCTCCGTGTCTTGTCTATATATATTTCTGCCTTTCATTCATGTTTTTCACTAGTCGGTTGCGATCTTTGTTGAATCATCATGAACTATGTGTGTGGTACCTGCATGTGTGGCCTTTCAAGCAGAGCGCGTCCATTCAGGTAAGCGATTTTCATGCTTCGTCTCGTCGGAAACACAAACACAGGGCACTTCCGGACTGTGTAGTCTGCAGATTTCTGACTGCAACGTGTAACTGAATCCTGGATCGTTTTTAATTTCCACAGTCAATCGTCTGCATCCCGCTCATGGGTGGCGTGCTTGAGCTGGGGACAACTGATACGGTATGTTCAGTTGTTCACTTCACTGGCCATTTATATATATATTGTATACATTATTATCTGAAAATAACAGCTAGCTGAACCGGAAGAGGAGCGTAAATAACAGCTAGATTTTTTTATTTATTTTTCATTGTGCCTAATTCTCCTGGAGATCAGGTAGTATTTAACCAAACTGCTGTAAATGATATTGCCAGTTGTTGGAGGATCCGGACTTGGTCAGCCGAGCTACCGCAGCTTTCTGGGAGCCGCAATGTCCGACATACTCCGAAGAGCAAGAGCCGAGCTCCAACCCCCCGTCAGCAAACGAAACCGGCGAGGCCGCAGCAGACGACATGGTTGTGTTCGAGGACCTCGATCACAATGCCATGGAAATGGAGACGATTGCTGCCGTCGCTGGGGGAGACGGACAGGAGCTAGGAGAAGCGGAGAGCCTGTCAAACGCAAGCCTGGAGCACATCTCGAAGGAGATCGACGAGTTCTATACCCTCTGCGAGGAAATGAACGTGCAGCCACTACCACTAGAGGATGGCTGGATCATGGACGGGTCTAATTTCGAAGTCCCCTCGTCCCCGCAACCAGCGCCCCAGGGGAACCTAGCTGATGGCTCTCGCTCGACCAGTTTCATGTCGTGGACGAGGTCCTCGCAGTTGTGCTCCGATGAAGCTGCGGCAGTGCCGGTCATCGAAGAGCCGCAGAAATTGCTGAAGAAAGTGGTGGCAGGCCGCGATGCTTGGGCGAACTATGGTGGTGGTGTGGGCACGAGCACGACGGGAACAGCCCAGGAAAGTGGCATCAAGAATCACGTCATGTCAGAGCGAAAGCGCCGGGAGAAGCTCAACGAGATGTTCCTCATTCTCAAGTCATTGGTTCCGTCCATTCACAAGGTACTGAAGAACACAACGTCAATTTTTTATCCTTCCGTGTTGATTTGAGAACATTTGTTTGCTTATCAAAAGTTCAAAAGTTGAAGACGTTTTTTTTAAAAAAAAAATTGGCAGGTGGACAAAGCATCAGTCCTCGCCGAAACTATAGCCTACCTCAAGGAGCTTCAGCGAAGGGTACAAGAGCTGGAGTCCAGTAGGGAACTTACATCGCGTCCATTCGAAACGACAAGGCCAATAACAAAAGCCCGTGGCAACGAGTGTGTCAGCAAGAAACTCTGTGCGGGCTCCAAGAGGAAGAGCCCAGATTTCGGCGGTGACGTGGAGAAGGAGCACCCCTGGGTCCTCCCCAAGGACGGCACCAGCAACGTCACCGTCGCCGTCTCGGACAGGGACGTGCTCCTAGAGGTGCAATGCCGGTGGGAGGAGCTCCTGATGACGCGAGTGTTCGACGCCATCAAGAGCCTCCATTTGGACGTTCTCTCGGTTCAGGCTTCGGCACCAGATGGCTTCATGGGGCTTAAGATACGAGCTCAGGTATCACCAGCTAACTAAGAAATGCAAATTGCAATACTCCTCTGGTTAATTAGCAGTCATGTAGCTCACCCTTGACTTCTTGCTGGTTGGAAAGTTTGGTTTACTGACGCAGTTGTTTCTGTTCAATTTCTATGCAGTTTGCAGGCTCCGGTGCCGTCGTGCCCTGGATGATCAGCGAGGCTCTTCGTAAAGCTATAGGGAAGCGATTTAGGGACAGCTGAGAGCTTCATGAATCGAAGCGAAGTTGTATTTCTTGCGGAGAAGGGCCCAAATCGTGCTATACAACACATTTTTGTCAGGTGTTTTTGCAGGGTTCTGCACTTCAATTTTTGTCAAGAAAAAGAAGTTCGGACGGAAACATGTACTCCCTTCGTCCAGGAAAAAAACGCTACTCAAACTAAAAGCAGAAATCATCTGATCAAAACCTAATTTTATTTGCCTCCCTGGAGCAGGCTCTGACATGCAAAAATCATTGCCCGACAGCTAATAGGTTGTGCAGTGCTCTCCCAAGCCCCGAAGCCCCGATCACTCAGATAGTCTGATTCTGTGTTCGAGACGGCGACCAATGGACCCTGCGAAATTTACTCCGAGAGGAGCCAGGGGCGTGTCGGTTATTTCTATACTGCACACTGGTGGTTCGTAGCCGTAGCTTCACCTTCGCACATGGTTCTCCGCATGTAGCGCATTCAAATGCAATTGTTTTGCTGCCGTCACGCGCTATGCGTCTTCGTCCAATCGTCCTGCTGCTATGAGACATTGAGACCTTGGAAACGTACAAGCAGCATGTCTACTACTCCTCTAGTCTAGATCATTTAAAACATTTTGGAAAAGTTAGGGCAAATGAATACTAGTAGTACACAAACGCTTTTATATGAGTGAACATCATGTTATTCCAGGCCTAAATACGAGCCTCTGGCTGAGCCCAGCAAAGCCCGAAAGCCCTGGATGGCCAAGGCGCCCTGATGGGCCCCAAAGCTGGCCAATAGGGCCTGGTGTGAACAGTACCCCCGTGGGTACTGTAGCGTACGTCTATCCGGGAGATTCCAATTTAGATGAAAAATTAGAATAAAGATTTTTTAATAAAATAAAATAGAATTGGTTTATTAGGAAAGAAGGGTCCAAATCTATAGAGACTCTTTATTTGGTTAGGATATAAGTCCTCTACGAACTATAAATATAGATGCGATGTAACCGTTTCATCTAATTAAAAACATAGTGAAAGGTCTTCGGGTAGGACCGTGACAGATTCATCATTTAAAAAATTTATTAATAATTCTTTTATGGCGTACAACAAGCAGTTTCCCGGCCAGTCACTTCATGAAAAAGAAATGTCAGTAGTGACGGCGTCTTGTCACCCCGTGCGTCATTGATGACAAGTTAAAAAAATACACGCGTGACTAATTCATCACTTAGTAACAGTCAATAGGACCACATCACTATAAGCACCTGTCACTTATGGCCAAGTAATAAGTATCGGTTTGTAATATCACCCAACACTTTCGAGGAAGTTCAAGTGTCATTTTTCTTATGTAGGTAGCATTTACTCCCTCCGTTTAGTACTAGTATTAGTGTACTACTTATTATTGCGTATGTCTTTCTTTATCCGTCACATCGTCACTATTGACCTAGGCCGCCAGCCCCTGTATGTTCATTCTGTTTTCTTGGCTACCGTCTTCTCAAACGAGCAACAAATATAACACAACGTAGCATCTTTGTCAATAGATATGCTCTCTCCGTTCCAAATTATAAATCGTTTTGATTTTTTTGGTTTATTCATTTTACTATGTATCTAGACATAATATTAGATCTAGATGCATAGCAAAATGAATATACCAAAAAAAATCAAAACGACTTATAATTTGAAACGGATGGAGTATATTATTACAATTCACATCGGTATCAACAAGCACATACATATGAGAATACTGCTCCATTTAAATCTAAGAGAAAGATGCGACAAGCACATACATCGGCATTGACAAGCACACAACGTAGCACTTACTCCATCTGTTCCAAATCATAAGTTATTTTGACTCTTTTTCTACATCAAATTTTTCTATGTATCTAAACAACACATATTTATGGACATAGCAAATTCTTTAAAAAAAATCAAAGCGATTTATAATTTGGAACAAATAGAGTACCGGTTATTAGTACATGTTACTGGTATGCCTTTCTTTATCCGTCCGATGGTCAGTATTGACCCAACTCCTGTATGTTCATTTTGTTTTTTCTTTGGTTCCCGTCTTCTTCCACGAACAATAAATGCAACACAATGTAGCATCCTCATCTCGATGAATTTAATATTGAACTTTACTACAGCATGCGCGTGGAGGAAATCCACCATCGGACTGCACGGGAGATGTTTGTGCAGCAACGTATCCACCTCCCCTCCGTGTCACACATCCAGCGTCCGCCGCACCACACGGCCAACTCTGGCATCTCTAATGCTCTCCCCCGCCGTTCCCCGATCTAGATGAGTGTACGAGACTAACAAGAGAGGGAGAGAGCGTGCACCTTGAGAGCACCTCGCCGATCCAGACATGCTCGTGATGTGCATGACCTATGCTTTTTGTGCTGCCACAGGTTGCCCGGCACGAGTTTTAAGAGCAACGAGCATGTCTGGCTGTGCAACGCGCACCTCGCTGGCAGCAAAGCCTTCCCCCGCGCGCTCCTGGCCAAGGTATGCATGCGCATTTCTTAGTTGTTCTGACGGGAAAGACCGCTCGATCTGCATTATATTCTCCGTGTCTCGTCTATATATTTTCATCTTTTCTAAACGTCATGTGCCTGAGAATTTGAGTTACATCAGACGACATGCTGGCCATGTGGCACAACCACATTGTATTTGTTCTCTTGTAATTTGTTTATAATTTGTTAATTGTCTTTGTGTTACAATATATTAACTTTTTGTCCTTGTCTAACTATAGAGAAAGATTATAAATTGTTAATTGTCTTTGTGTCAACATTTATTAGATTTTGTCAGGTTTGTAGTTTTGTCTATCGAGTTTTTTATTCTCGGATCCAAAAATTGCAAATTATGCATACTCAAATTACAACAGACTAAAGCTGCAATTTTAACCTAAAATGTATGCAATAACCATCGTCTGAAAAGAAGACAAAATTCAGGCACATGAATTTGAGCAACACCCATATATTTTTGCCTTTCATGCATGTTTTTCACTAGTCGCGCGGTTGCAATATTTGTTTGTTGAATCATCGTGAACTACGTGTTTGGTTCCTGCATGTGTGGCCTTGGGTGCCTACGTACGGTCAAGCAGAGCGCGTCCATTCAGGTAAGCGCTTTCCATGCTTCGTCTCGTCGGAAACACTACACAGGGCACTTTCAGACTGTGTAGTCTGAAGATTTCTCACTGCTACAACTAACGGCACCCTGGATCGTATTTAATTTCCGCAGTCAATCGTCTGCATCCCCTTTATGGATGGCGTGCTTGAGCTGGGTACCACTGATACGGTATGTTCAGTTGTTCACTGGCAATATAGTGGCCCGTTCGGCTTATCTTATAATCCGTACTATTCATCTTAGTTTTTTCAGCCGGAACAGTATTTTTCTCTCACAACAATTCAGCCAGAACAGTATTTTCAGCCAAGTTTCAGCAACCCGAACAGGGCCTGAAAAGGAGAAATTTTACAATGATATTAGTATCACCAAACTAAATGATATTGCCAGGTGCCGGAGGACCTGGACTTAGTCAGCCGAGCAACCGCAGCTTTCTTGGAGCCGCAATGTCCGATATACTTGCAAGAGCCGAGCTCCAACCCGTCAGCAAACGAAGCCGGCGAGGTCGCAGACATTGTTGTGTTCGAGGACCTCGGTCACAATGCCATGGAGACGATGACTGCCGCCGGAAATGAACCCGTCAGCCTGTTCAATTCAAGCCTGGAGTACATCACGAAGGAGATCGACGACTTCTACAGCCTCTGCGAGGAAATGGACGTGCGGCCACTACCACTAGAGGATAGGTTCATCATAGTGGACGGGTCTAATTTCGAAGTCCCGTCGTCCCCGCAGCCACCGCGCCCCCGGGGGCTACTACTAACAACGCTGCCGACACCTCAAGCGCACTAGTTGACCGCTCTCGCGCGACCAGTTTCATGGCTTGGACGAGTTCCTCGCAGTCGTGCTCCGATGAAGCGGTAGCGGTGCCGGTCATCGAAGAGCCGCAGGAATTGCTGAAGAAAGTGGTGGCCGGCAGCAGAGCTACTAGGTCCAACTGTGGTGGCGGCGGGGGCACGACGGGAACAGCGCAGGAAATAAGTGGCATCAAGAATCACGTCATATCAGAGCGAAAGCGCCGCGAGAAGCTCAACGAGATGTTCCTCATCCTCAAGTCGCTGGTTCCGTCCATTCACAAGGCAATGAAGATATCTGCCATCAATTTTTTTTATCCTTCCGTGATGATTTGAGAACGTTTGTTCGTTCGTATCAAAACTTGAAGCTTTTTTTTTTAAAAAAAATGGCAGGTGGACAAAGCATCGATCCTTGTTGAATATTATATGGGTTTAGGCCCATATTTTATTTAATAAATTAATTAATTCCAGAGCCATATTAAATGATGTGTTACAATATAGTTTTAGTCCCGTATGAGATTTTGACTGATCGTTGACTCAACTTAAAAAGGATACACACTTGTGCACCTATAGAGAAGTTGAAAGAGGCCAAAGGCGTGCCACACGTGCGCGCGCCGCCACCGCCGCCGAGCCGAGCGATGCGTGTCGTGCAGTTGTGGGTCGGTTTTACCACTTGGGCTGCCTAAGGAAGAGGAAGGGGTACAGGCGCTAATGTGCGTGGGTGTGGGTTGGTTTTGCCACTTGGGCTGGCTAAGAAAGAGGAAGGGGTACATGCGCTAACGTGGAGGAGTTACTTACGGGTCTGTTACCTCCATTACGGTGGTGATTACTCAAGAATCACTTGACTCTTCGCCTCCATGATCTCTCCGGCATTACCTTCCCTCACATCTCCCTGTTGCCTCACGCTGCAATACCACCACCTTCCTCCGGTTGAGTTGCATTTGAGTACTCCCGTCCCATCCTCTCAAGGGCCGGAGGTTTGGGAGAGCAAGCCTCAAAACCAGCGTTAGATCGTGATACCCGCTTTCGAGTGTGTGCAAAGCGATCAGGTTTTTAGGGAGCGCCTCCACGACCGCCGTCGTCTTCATCTTCATCAGAACGTCTCCATCTCCTTCGTGGTGGTGCCCATTCTTTCTCGGATCGGCTTCGTCTACTTTTCGGTGGACGTTTGAGGGACGGTACATTGTACATCTTCCTGTACCGACTATGGTCCGCGATTTCGAGCAACTCACCATGAGTGGGTCTGGAGCCACCAGTGCCTTAGCATGGGTCCCTCCGCAAGGTACATCTCTATTCTTAAATTGGTTAAGTTCAATCTCTTTTCCGCTATGATCAGTATGATGTTCATCAACATATTTGCTGCTAATCTGAGTAGTAGTAAAATCACACACGTGCACATATTTGTCATCACAAATTTGTTATTATTTTTCTGGATTAATTTTAACATAAAATTGCCTAAATTTCTAATAATCCAAAAACCTGATATTAGGTAATTTTCTGTTAGTAGTTTTGCTGCTGCTTTGAAGCCAAATGATTTTGATGGAACAAATTACAAGACATGGTGTGCTAAGATGGTGTTGTGGCTTACTGCTATGAACTGCTATCAAGCCGCACAGGGAAAACCTGAACAATTTACTCCTAAGGAGGAGGAAAAGTTCAAGGTAGCTGATAACCTGTTTCGAGGCGCCGTGATTAGTGCACTTCATAGCAAGTATGAGGACAACTACCTCCGTTACATGTTAGGCAAGGAATTATGGGATGCACTTGATGCTAAGTTTGGTGTTTCTGACGCCGGTAGCGAGCTGTACGTTATGGAGCAGCTGTTTGACTACAAGATGGTTGACAACAATTCTGTGGTCGAACAAGCTCATGAGATACAGGCACTGGCTAAGGAACTCAAACAGTTTTCATGTGTGTTGCCCGATAAGTTTGTGGCCGACGGTATAATCGCTAAGCTACCACCTTCTTGGAGGGATTTTGCTACCTCTTTAAAACACAAGAGACAAAAGTTTAGTGTGGCTAAACTTATTGGGTCCCTTGATGTTGGAGAGAGGGCGAGAGCAAAAGACACGCGTGGGAAAGACGTTGAGTCTTCTAGTGCCAATATGGTGCAGAAGAAAAATTCAAATGCATCTCGTAATAAGAAGAAGAATAAGCAAGAGAACAACTCAAAGCCTAAACAAACAACCACTTTTAAGAAGAAAAAGAACAACAAAGATGGTAGTTGCTTTGTTTGCGGGAGTGATGAGCATTGGGCAAGTTCATGCCCAGACCGTAAATTTAAGCAAGAGAAGAAATCTGCAAACATGGTTGTTAGCGAGACTGAAGGAGGAACATATGGATATGGTAATTCTTTACCTACTATTCTTTCAGTTTGTCATTCGCCTGAGTGGTGGATGGACACTAGGGCTAATATTCATGTGTGTGTTGATGCCTCTTTGTTTTCTTCTTATCAGGTCGGTGGGACTGGAGCCTTGCTGATGGGGGAATGGGTCCCATGCGTATGTTCTTGATGTTGGTACGGTCATTCTGAAGTTCACTTCGAGAAAGACGGTGCTGCTGAAGAACGTGCATCATGTCCTCTCCATCAAAAAGAATTTAGTTAGCGGTTCTCATTGTTGTCGTGATGGTTATAAAATTGTCTTCGAGTCCAATAAATATGTACTGTCAAAGTATGGAACTTTTGTTGGTAAATGTTATGATTGCGGAGGCTTGTTCCGCTTATACTTGCATGATGATGTGTGTAATAAAATTGTGAACAATGCTATTATCCCTGATGGGTCAAATATTTGGCATTCACGTCTTTGTCATGTTAATTTTTGTTGTCTATCGCGGCTTGTAAATCTTAATTTAATCCTGAAAATTAATTTGGTCAAAGGTTCTAAGTGACATGTGTGTGTGAAATCTAAGCAACCTCGTAAGCCTCACAAGGTTGTGGAGACGAGGAACTTGGCGCCATTAGAACTAGTCCATTCCGATCCATGTGAGATGAATGAGGAGTTGACTAAAGGTGTCAAAAGATACTTCATGACTTTTATAGACAATTGTACCAGATTTTGCTATGTGTACCTGTTAAAAACAAAAGATGAAGTGTTTTATTACTTTAAGATCTATAAAGCTGAAGTAGAAAGTCAACTTGAGAGGAAAGTTAAACGGTTAAGGTCTAATCCTGGTGGAGAATATTTTTCAAGTGAATTTTCTGATTTATGTGTAGAACATGGAATTATTCATGAGAGTACACCGCCATATTCACCACAGTCCAATGGGATTGTCGAAAGAAAGAACCGCACTCTAACTGAGTTGGTTAACGCCATGTCGGAGACAGTGGGTCTATCTAAGGAATGGTAGGTTGAGGCTATTTTGATGGCATGTTATGTCATGAATAGAGTTCGTACAAAGAATTAAGAAATCACATCATTTGAGGAATGGAAAAAAGAAAAGATTAAATCTCTCATATTTTCGTATTTGGGTTGTTTGGCCAAAGCGAATGTACAAATTAACAAAAAAAAACGCAAACTTGGAAAAAAAACTCCACGGTCCCACAGCTTCGCTTAGTTAATAGTCCCATGACAACACTGTTCGGCTGCAGCAATAAGATGTTGTTGCAGCCTTACGGTGTTGTTAGTACAGTGAATTGAGACAGGGAAAAAAAGTCACAGCTGCAGCAACAACCGCTTACTGCGCTTAAGCATGTAAATCTCGCAGCAGAAGCGATTCAGATCAGCAAGGTGTCATTTAGACAGCACCTAAGCATGTAAATTCCATATGAAAATGATGAATCATATAATGCGCTTCGGAACACCAATCTGTCAATATCGTATATAATATCTCATTGGCAATCCTACATTGAGTCATGCCCACAATGCTACAACAGGGGATCCAAAGGGAAAGCGTAATTAACAACTCTTTTGAAAATAAAATAAAACTTAGGACTTCTCCAATCAGTTCAGCAATGGTGGAATACCACATTATCACACTGGGAAGAGGCTAAATCCTCAACAAAGCGCAGCCGCAGATGCTCCCTCGACAATGTGTCATCGGTGACCCTGGTCTCCAGGTTGGTCTCTCACTTGTGACGTTCAAGATATCAACATCTGATAGCGGCTTGATGCATTGGTTTCTCGGCCCAGGTCCAATCACTCCCCCAACCAAATATATGTTGTCACCCATACCAATCATCCCGAAACCGATCCTGCTCTGAAACTCAGATGCGCACGACACCATCTTATCAGGGAAATTCTCACCACGTTGCTTCATAATACAGCTGTTACTCAGCACATACAGCTCTCCACCAACCATCGCCATCGGGCCTTGCAGCCAAGAAAAATCCTCAACAGCCCAATGACTGCCATCATCTTCCAGAATCTGCACTGTCGATAGACCTTTATGCAATACATGCATCTTACCCTTGATGACAAGTCCAGTACATGCAGAGCTGTGAGCCAGACGAAGGTCAGGGAGAGGCTCCCATAGGCCAGCTTCAGGGTCATAGACCTCAGCCTTTGATATCGATTTGCGGCAGTTAGTGAAGCCTCCTGCGACGATTATTTTCCCATCCAATGCACAACAAGCAAACATCGCTCTAGCCACAAGCATAGGAGCCCTCTGGGACCACACTCGGTGGAGCGGATCATAAGACCAAACCTCATTGCTTGCAAAGATCCTGTCGTGATCTCCAGTAAGCGGATCAACTCGATCACTGCCACCGCCAATTACATAGAGCTTGCCAGCAACTGAGGCCACTCCAAAGCGGGCTATGTTCCTAATCTGAGATGGCATGACAGGGAGAGTTATCCACTTGTCTCGTAGGGGATCATAAAGTTGCCACATGTTTTCTGGTTCAAACGCCAACACACACAAGAGCTCTTCTGTCGCATCAATCTGATTCCGAATTTTGAAAAGTTCGCCACTGCAAACTGATGCTCGCCAAGAGCGACAAACCAACTGAAGCATCGGATGGAACAAGAATGGCACCCGTGCAAGGCACTGGAGAGCAACTTCGTTAGGGAGACCATCAAGTAAGGTCGATGGCATTGTGCACAATAATATTGCAGCAATAAAGCAACAATACTTATGAAGCCTGCACATAATCAAACATAAGAAGTTAGATATATTGTACAGCAAAATTGGGATTGTACTTTCAACATTAATAATCAGGTGTCCATCTAAGTGCTACTATTCAAACTAAATATGGATGACAAATAAATTATGTAAAGCAATAGTTCAAAGCAGGACATCAAACACACAATTAAGTAATTAACAAAAATGTGTTTAACTGAGGCTAAAAAGAAACTTGTATGATCAAAGCATCATAGAGCTATTCCCCTTAATATGTG